ATGGATGGTAAGCAATCAAGACAAAACACACTAGAAGAGGAAAGAGAAAGACAGAAAAGAAGGAAGCAAGAAACAGAAGAAGAAATCAATATTGTAAGAATAACATTAAAACAAAGTATATGGGCACCAAGCAGAAGAAATTGTAATCAAAACAACAGTCTAATTACCAACATACCAGCATATAAGGTCCTTGAAGAAACAAAAAAAGAACATATAAAGTTTATTAGGTGGTCTCTAAAGGATAATACTTATGTAAAAGACATTAACAAAGTATTCAAGAGAGGAAATCTGTAGATAGAAGTAGTTTTTGACTATAATTATGGCAGAGATAAAGCTATATAAAGAATTAACAGAAAAAAGAATGATTGGTACAAGATGATACCAGAAGATAAAGAAAAGAAAGAGAAGAGAAAAAAAGAACTCAGAGACTACAAGAAAGAATAACAAGATAAAGAAAAACATATACCAAGTTTTAGAAAAGAGAAGGTTAAAAAAGGCATTAACAGAGAAGAACCATGCAAGAATGAATATGAGGAAGAAAAAAGACTCAGTAGCAATGTGACTTACTTAACAATATGGGACCTATCAGCTAACATAAATAAAAGAGAAGTAGAATATATTTGCAGAAGAATTAAAGACATGCAGATTATATGCATCAAAAGGTTTAAGTACAAAGCCTTAGCAGTAATACAAATGCAAAGCATAGAGAAAGAAAATATCCCATGGTTACTGCCAGCTGACAATAATAAGCTAGTAAGAATAACAAGAGGAAGAGAAGACTATAAAGTGAGAGAAAGACAAAGAAAACACACAGCCAAACTAGCAGAGCTATTTGAAAATGCTTCAGAAGTCTTATTATTGTGATGTTTGAGAAGTAAAGAAGTGAAGTTAGTATATATTCCACCAAATCAAAATGGAAACCAGAAGTGAACAGCACTGATTATTTTCATAACAGAGGAAGATATAAGAGCAGCATAGTCAAAACCAATTATGTACAATAATTTTCAAGTATACTGAGTTAATAAAAGAAGAAGAGAGCCAAGAGATAGAGAAAGCTTCAAGAATAGAAGAGAAAGAAGTTGGAATAGATTAAGCCAGAACTATAATGCAGAAGAAAACAAAAGTAAAGAAAGAAGTCATTAGAACAGAACATATATAACCAGAAAGAAAAACTGAAAAGATCTAAAACCAAAAGTTCAAATGATAGAAGAAGAGAATAACAGTCTAAAACAGAATATTAAAAACCAAAATAGATATAGAAATATAGATAATGGAAAAGAAGAAAGTTGAAAGAAGAGTGAAAATAAAGATAAGATACAACAGCAAGAAAAGAATACACATATAGAAGATATGCTAGGCTGAATTTTAGAAAGACTAGAAAAACTAGAGAAAGTAAGTGACTTGATAGGAGAAGGCATAGCCAACTGCTCCTAAAGGCACTTTAGTTAAACTAATAAATATAGATAAGAAAATAGAAGAGTTCTTACAAGATAAAAGAAGAAATTTTGAAAACAGAAGAAGGAAAACACATCCTCATTCAAAAGAAGAAAGAAATAAAAACAGAAAGAAAAAAAAAAAAAAAAAACAGCAAAGACAAGACAAGAACAACTAAAAGAAAAATGGAAGAAAGGAAGAAAGGAGATTAAAATAGCATGTTATAATGTTAATGAACTCAAAACAAAAGAATGGAAACTCAATAGTCTGCTGGGCTAGGCAGAAGAAAAAGAAGTCACAATATTAGGTATTACAGAAACAAATCTCATAGAAAGAAAGAGAAGATTCCTAATACAGACAACAAACAGAAAATATGTAGGATTTTGGTCAAGTGCAGCAAAAGACAAAAAGAAGAGATCAGGTATAGAAATTATAATTAACGAATAATAGGAAAAACATGTGAATGCATTCAAAAGGATAAATGAATATATGATAGAACTTATACTATACTTCAAGCAATTGGAGTTAGTGGTTTTAGGAGTTTATATACCACCAAGTAATAAGGCAATAGAGAAAAACATTCAACAAAAAATCATAAAAATAGTCACTAAGAAGAGAAGACAAATACAAATAGTTATTTTAGATAACTTCAATCATATAGTGAATAATGTGTTGGATAGACAATACCTACAAGCAGCAAACTTCAAGAGATTGCCAATCTTTAATTGAATAAAAAAGCAGAACTTTAGCGACAGTTACAGAGACATGCATTCAACAAGTCAAGAATTTACATAGTTAAATGAAGAAGTAGCAACAAGAATTAACTATATATAGATATCAGAGGAACTGGCCTCAGAGCTACAGAAGGCAGAAATTGAAGATACAGAGGGAATTACTAAAAGTGATCATAAAATAGTAAAAACAGAAATATAGATTAAACACATGATGTCAAGAAATAGCAAAGCTGAAATTAAAAGAAAAAGACAATAGTGGGATACCACCTATAATATAATTATATTATAGGTGGTATTCTACTTAGGTTAGATTATATAATCTAAATACTACTATATAATCCAAATATCATTATATAATCTAGATATCTCTATATAGTCTGAATAACAGTATATAATCTGAGCACCACTATATGATTTAAATAATTTAATCTAATAAATACTATATAATTTAAACATATAATCTAATTGCTACTATATAATCTATATATTTCCTATATCGGATATCTATTTTATGTTCTAGCTATCTTTTTGAATTCTTTCTGATATTTATATTTTATCACCATATGATCTAACTACCACCTACTATTTAATCTAACTACCACTATATGATCTAAATACTGCTATTTCCTTCTTGTTCCTAATCCATTTACATGCCAAATTCTATATTGTTTGTACTGGCCTTTTATACCTGTTTGGATGTCTGGTTTTATATTGAGAGTGCTGGCCCTCTGCACCTGTTTGGGTACCAAATTCTATATCAAGGTGTTTACCTTTTTGTGCCTGTTTGGTTGCCTATTAAAATACTGAATTGTGATAAAAAAAAATATCACGTCGAGTGGTGCAGTAAATTTGTAGTTAATTTTGGCTGAGATTATGCTATAATACTAGCTGATCTTTAGAATACATAATTTAAAATCCCAACTCAGCACCATAGTAGTAGAGCGATAATATCTAGAACTATTATAGCACTAGCAGAAAACTAATAGAGAACCAAAAAGGTTCTATTAGTTCGCCAGTTTTAGACTACTTATATGCCGACTTGGATACCAAGTTCTTTTGCCTAAAGTTCTGACTGAAATTATGAAATAGTGCTGGCCAAAATCATAATTTACTATGCCTACTATGCCAGCTATGTATTGTTATTCCTAAGCACTTTCAAAGTTACCTCATACCTAAGTATACATCTGGAAAAGTATAGTCTTCTTCTATTATTTTATATAAAGATTCTGAAGAAGGCTACACTTTTGGATACATATCTGAATGCCTTTTTTGTCATCAAAACTTTTTAGTAACACCTGACTAGATGAAGGCTTCTGCCAATATTTATATAATATAATTCTGCAGAAGCCTTCATACTATATTTGAGTTTATACTATACTCGACTATATATCTAGAAATGTGTAGTCTTCTGATAATATTTTATATAATGATTTCGCAGAAGCCTACACTTTCAGATGCATATTTAGATGTCCTCCTTTTATGATTTGCTACTAAGTATAAGTATCTAATATATGTCACATATATCCAGATGCATACTAGCTTACTTTAAATACCCACATATATCCAAGTACCTATCTAAAAATGGGGCCTTCTTCCATTATTTTATATAATAATTCTGAAGAAAGCCCCACTTTCAGATACATATCTGCTTACCTTCTATTTTCGATTTGTTAACTAAGTTTGCTATCGCTTCTTTTTTATATCTATCAAAAAAAATCATATCAGAATATAATTATTACGAACTTACTTAACCTGAATTTCACCTAGCAAGAATGCATTTATTTATGTCTAGATGCTTTCACTATTCCTGAGAACATATCTGAAAAATGAAGGCTTCTGCTAATATTTATATAATAGATTATGCAGTTACCTTCACTTTTAGTTATATATTTAGATACTCTTCTTTTACGATTTGTTGGCTAAGTTCACCATTGCTTCTTTTTTTGTATCTATTAAAAAAATTAATTAAACATTTTGGAAATATATTGTGATATAATAACTTTACCTACTGTCGACATGCATACCTCAAGTATTTCTGACCAAACTGATTGCACTGAAACCAGCCTCCTTGCCCACTACGATGGCACTGAGACTATAGCTGGTGTTCTATCATGTAATGATATTGTGGCAGAATTTGATAATAGAACCACTCTTTTGATCCAACAAAGCTTATCTAGCAAACAGCTTATACATTTTATGCCTACTGAAGTTAGTGATGATACTAAATATATAAATGGGATCTTCATTTATATTTTGTGTATCACTGGTTCTTTAATTAATAGGCAAAAGGCAGTCGTGAATATTACAGGCATCAAACCCTTTTTTGATGTCAAAGTACCTAAAGAGATGCCGTTATCTATGTTTAAGACCAAATTAGTAAAGATATTATCTAATATTCTTAATAACATATCAAGGTTTGGGATTGAGACTATTAGTGCTTTTTTATTTTAAGAGTATCATACAGGAAAGAAACTATATATTTGTGTGAGAACATGGAATCACTATGACTGGTATAATGCATTAAAAGCAGTTCATGTTGTTGGTATATATACAGCTTCAGATGATCTAAATTGCCAATATTATTACCACAAAGTAGTCTGTGAACAAAAATTACCTCTTTCAAGTTGGGCAGTATTAAGTAATTATTTATATGAACACATTCAAGGGGGTACTTATCTCTTCCAAGTATCTGTGAATAATTACAATCCAATAAATAAAGGTGATTATAATAATTCATTATTTTCCTTAACACTTTCACAGGATCCCACCCTTGTTCTCATGTGGGATATTGAAACATATAGCTCACGAAAAATAGGTGAGATGCCTAATGCAAAATATGAAGAAGATGTTGTATTCATGATTTGTATGACAGTTCACTGGAAAGATGATCCCAAATTATTAAAACGAATTTGTCTTGTTGATGTTAAAACAGCACCAGACTCACAATAGATTACAATCATATGTGAATCCTAGACCAATTTACTAAAAGCATTTGCATTATGTTGAAAACTCTTAGCCCCAGATATACAAATAGGCTTTAATGATTCACATACAACTGAAAATTTATTGTAGAGAAGGCTAATAAATTAGGAGTTCTCGAATGAATGTTCAATCATATATCATTCAAGCCATCGAGCCTTGAAAAAATTATAAAATGAAAATATCAATATAATGTAATAAAAATAAATGATAGGAATTTCTATTCGAAACATCTTAAAATTTCTGGCTGTGTGGCTATTGATGTTTACTTCTGTTTTAAGGAATTCTATCCAAAGCTGAAAAAAGTAGCCTTGCATATTACTTAGAGAAGTGTAGTCTTGACAACAAAATGGATTTACCTATTCATCATATGAACAAATATTATGAGAGGGCATTAAAAGAAACCAATGCCACAATGGCTGAGCAGATACATAAAGTAGCTGATTATTGCATTATTGACACTCTTAGCTGTCAACAGTTAATGATTAAGCATAATATAATTAATGAATATAGAGAGCTTTCAAGTATAGCCTTTTTATCATTGTTCAATGCACATTATTTTGCAGTAGGAATGAAGATGTGTAATCTTGTATATGCTAGTGCATAGCAAAGAGGGATTCTACTCAGTACAATTTCAAAAGAGGGAGTTGAAACTGAAAAATATCCTGAAGCTTATGTCTTTCTATCAGTAAAGGGTCTTGAAAATAGATGCCTTGTAACTGGTTTGGACTTTGCATCATTGTATCCGAGCCTTATTATAACATACAACCTCTCACCTAATAAAATAATTTTATCTTAAGAGCATGCTAAACAAAGTGGCAAAAAGCTTCACAGAATTAGGTTTAAATTCAATGATCAGAATATTCTTGCATAGTCCATTCAGTATAATAACATTTCCAAAAAGAAAGGTCTCTATGCCAATGTGTTGGAATGTTTATATATTAAATGAGTTGAGATGAAAAAGCATCTTGCCTTTTTAAAAGAAAAAAAAGGAAGACATGGAACTGGTAATAGGTTTAATAAATAAAGATTTGTCACTACCAGAAGCTATCGAGTAGGTTTTAGCAAAAGTAAAGAAGAAAAAATATGCTAGCCTTAACAAAAATTTACACCCTTTTATCAATAAAAGAAAGCATGAATTCATAGCAGAATATAATTCAGTCTCTTTTCTCTATTCTTGCTTAGATGTGAAACAAAATGCTTTTAAAGTATACATGAATATGTTTTATGATACTGCTGGAGATAGCACATCATCTCTCTTCTTGCGTGAACTTGCTGGGGGTGTCATATCATCTGGACAGAGTAACATTAAACTTGTTGCAGATTTTGTTAAAAGTAAGGGTTTTTAGATAAAATATGAAGATACGGATTCTTTATATCTAGTCTGCTCAGAAGGATGCTTTTAGAAATGTGATAAGGCATATGACTATGACAATGGAATCTCAAAAGAAGAATATTGGTCTCGAATGATAAAAGTCTCTATGGGGGTAATGGAGAAACTTTGTGATGAAGTTAATGGTTTTCTCAAAAAAGATAATAGATCTTCTTATCTTAAAATGGCATATAAGGAAGTTTTATTCCTAGTAGTATTTACTAGAAAGAAAAAATACTACAGCATTTTATATAAAAGCAAGCCAAACTTTAATAAAAAGCTTTTTATTCAGGAGGTAGAAACTGTAAAATGAGAGCATTCTTCTCTTTTTCGCAAAATAGGAAAGCATATTATGGATGAATCTATGAAGATAAACAATATATATATATATCTTGCATCAGATTGTAGAGGAAGTACTTAAGAAAACCATAAATGATATTTCTCAGATAGACCTTAATGAATTGGTTTAAACTAGTATGTGGAAGCCTGATAAAAATAATAAATCTGTTCAATGCTTTATTTTACAAATACAAGATAGGCATATTCATGAAAAAGCTGAAGCTTAACAACTTATAAAAAGGGGCTTGATGTCAGAACCTTATCTTTACCAAATTCCGGAGCCAGGTGAGTGCTTTAAGTATATTGTAATTGAAAATAATTCATCACAAAAGATGGGAGATAAAATGGAATATCCAGAGGTAGTAAGGTGACTAGGTAAAAAGATTAATATTGACTATTATCTGAAAAGTGTTGTCGGGCTCTGTGCATATTTTATAAATTATGATGATAGTTATCAGCCATTATCTGAAACTTTGCTGAAAGCCTTAAAAAGGTTAAAAGGGGATAATAGAGCTGATAAAGATGAAGCAGATAGGAACAAAGCAGATGGAAATAGTGTGGATGAAGATGGAGTAGGTGGAGATGAAGCAAATGAAAATGAGATATCAAAAAAGAGAGATACCTTAGTACAGAAATTGGCTGAAAAGTGGGTTAGAAGATATATCAAAAATCTTCATAAAGGTCTAAAAAAAGATAAGACTATCATATTCTATCTATGGAAAGAAGCATATACTTATGCAAAAAATTTATATGATACCACTTATGTTGATAAAATAGTAAAATGCTCGAGAAATGATGCTTATTGGTCTTCCTTTCTCAGCACATTAGATAAGCAGAAGGAATCAATTCGCATAAAGCTAATGACATTACTTGCAGAAATTTTCCAAGATGATATAGGAAGCAGAGAAAAAATATATAAATTTGTTACTAAGGCTGGTAAGCACAAATCTAAAGCCATGACCTTAGAAAAATATATATTATATATTCAAGAAAATGGATATGAAATATTAGCTGATTTGCAGAGCATGTAATACAAAGTGGTTGGCCTAGAAATTACACGCTATCGAGCATCATCGAAGTTACAGAGTGATAAAAAAGATAATTCATCTGAAGCAGATATAGATGAGATCATCGAATTATATGGTTAAGTATTCTTAGTAAGGTTTGGTAATTCTAGCTAAGAAAACTTAGTCATAAGACACTTTGTATAATATTATTTATATTTTTTTCATGCAATAATACTGGCTAACTTCAATTTCTATCTTCAAACTTCCAGCCTTTAATATGTATTTCTTTTTTCAAATTTATAAGAAAAAAGATATTAGTATTTTTAAATATATGCTTTTATAGTATAATGGCTGAATTGTGTGACCAACTTTCTTAGTATATAGGCTTCAAACCTAGTGAAATCTGTTTTCCAATTGCAGAAGAGGATATACAAAAATTTCGTAAAATAATAGCAAATCAGGAGAAAATAACAGATATTGCAATGATTAAGTATTGATTTTTGCTATGCTATAGGCATAATGGTAAGGGTGGTAACCGGATTCATATTGGCTGGTTAGTAGTATATACAGTATCTTAAGCTGAAAAGGTCTTAATTAATCTGCCTGAAGATTTATTAGAAAAGGTATTAGCTTATATTGAAAAAAGATTCGAAAAAGTCCCACTAGTGCCAGTACTCATATGGTAAATATTTAGGTGTTATCCCTGGCTTATCTGATATCTTTGGTACCTTTTCTCTATTTATATATTTTTTGTAGGTGGAATATTTGACTTTTTCTTTTGGCATGATGCTCTCCAAATTCTATAGCTTTTTTACAATGACTAACTATATAATTATGATTAATAGAAAAAGCAATATCGAGCAGGTAAACATTGATGATAGTAATTTGTTTATATCAATAAAGTTCCCCAAGCCACCTAATGAAATCTTTTCTTTGCAAATAGTAACAGGTATGATTTGTTTTGAAGAAGCGCTAAAGCTCTCTGGCTCATTATTTTTTTTGCCACCACTTTTTGCATATGAATCAGTTCTCTCGGGACCATTTGGCTGATTATTCTTATCAAAGTATCCTGAAGGGAATGAATTAATCACAGATTGAAGCAATTTCACTTCCTCTGATTTTGCATAATATTCAGCTTTATATTTGGCAAGAGATGTCTCTGTGCAAGCATATTGAAAAAAAAGTTTAAAATTTTCAATCTTCAACTGTCTGGCCTCATCATTGATCTTTATATATTCATTCTGCAACTTAGTATTATAATTTCGTATCTTGAATGAGTCTTGTAAGATGCAACATATCTTTTTTTTAAGATCATATGTTCCCATTTATTTACATTAGCCATAAACATGTAAAAAAAAAACTTTCAAATTTTATGTTAGAGAATAATCACAATAAATAAAAAATGAACATGAAGGTTATCAATCATTTTATTATTATTTTAGATAGCATATTAGAATGTATTCTACTCACCTAAAACAATAAATTATGCTTTCTAATGTCTCTTCTTATTTTAAAATAATAAATATTGAATTCTAATTTTTTTTATCCATCTAAAATGATAAATATTAATGTCTAATATTTTTTATATATCTAAATACATTGTCTAAAAATATTGGAAGATTATGTTTACCTCAATTTTAAAAACCCATTATTGGCAAGGTGTCACCATTTTAACACCTGGACAGATTGAAGAAAATAGACATCTCAAAAATAAGGTCCCAGTGTACATGATAGTAAATGAGTACTATATTAATAAAGATCGTGTTTATAATATATGAAACAATTCTGAGTGTTTACAGCAAAATGGAAACCACTTTTTTGAGAAGCTTAGGAAAGCACAATCTATCTCTTTGGAGAATGGTTCAGAAGTTCATGCTAAACAACCTTGCAAAGCATCTGATGAGTCAACTCCAAAAGAATCATCTGAGGTTGTGAGGGACTCTCTGGAACCATTACCTGCTGATATAAATATGCAAGAAAAGCAAAAAAAGAAAAAGAAACTGTTAAAGTCTGGATCTATTTGAAATTCTAACTTACCTAAAATTTCGGCCAAGAGTTCTTGCCAAAACTCCTTACTAGATATCTTATATGAACTAATTACTTCGATTAAAAAAGATCGTATAGAATCAAAAGAGTCTATGCATGAATCAAAAAAGCTCTTTGCTCTTAACTCACTTCACTAAGCTAGAATATCTAGTTAACAAGAAAAAAAGGATTGGAGGTTTTTATTAATCTCAATTAATTTAGCTTTGAAAATGAGAATATCATACAATATTTTTTCAAGCTCCTCATAGCTCATGCATTTTTTTTTTAATACATCATCATACCTATTTGACTCCTGTGAGTCCTATGATATGTTATTTAGAGTCAAGAAATCATCACAATTCAGAGTTATGTTTGCACAATTTACCTTAAGCTTGTTCTTGACCTTATGCATAGTAACTAGAATAATATAATCTTTTTCATTAAGAGGAATTTTTAGCTTATTGGTTTTCCAATCCAATGCACAATTGTATTTTTTCAAAAGCTGATTAGAAAATATTAATGTTGGCTTCTGATATTTTACAACAATAAAATCTTCATGAATAGTACAGCCTGAGCTAGAGTAATGAGTAATTTGCGAACAATTCCAACAGATTTAACTGAAACAGTGGCAATACCACTAAAATCATGTGTTTCAGATTTATCAATTTTAGCTCCTACATGTATAACAATATTTTCTGTTATAATGGAAAGTTCAGTCTCAGAGTTCACTGTCATGACTGGAATCTTTAAGTGCTTAATTTTATACTTTACAGTTGTGATACTTGTTTTTGGCTCCTTCTTCTTAACGAAATCAATCTCTATCAGATCATCCAAATCTTCTTTTTTATCTAGATCTAGCGATACAACTTTGGTAATTAGAGAAGTATTACTTGGAGATTCTATCTTTTTCTAGATTAAAGGTGCTTGATTCAGTATATTAGTTTTAATAGGGTCTTGGGAGAAATGATCAGAAAAAATTAATTTAAGTTCACTTTGAAGGACTTTATGAATAGTTTCCTTCAATGAAGTTTTGGATATTTTTTTAAGGGATGATTTCTTGAAACTAGAGTCTTGCTTCACTTTTTTTTTGACTTAGCTATGTTAACAGTAATATTACCTCCAGAATCGGAGGAATCCTCTAAACTTGTATTAGAGTCAGAACTATCACTAGAAGAAGTATCAGAAGAAGTATTTGAATCTGAATTCGGATCTATGGTAGTGATATTAACCTTACTCTTTTTAGACTTCTTACTTCTCTTTTTCTTCTTTCGAGAACAGTTTCAAGAATTATGTTCAGATCTTTTACAGATAGAGCATTTGTAACCTGATGATTTCTTAATAGCATGTCTAATAGCAGTTTTTATAACACTATTTAATGTTAATCCTGCTAAACTATCTGAAATATCTTCTATAGAATCATAATCATATTTATTGGCAGAGTGTTTACCTAGATTTTTTCTTAGTAAGTTACTTAAAAAGTAATTAATGGCAGTATCTTTTGCTCTCTTCTTAGATGATTTTTTACTATTATCTAGAGTTTTAGTTGCTCGAGACATAGTCTCTTGAAAGGATTTAATGGTAGACTGCAAATTAGTATTTTGTTGAGCCATTTGAGACTCTGAGGATGCCATTGTGGTTTTTATTAAATCCACGATTTCAGTTTTAGTCATTCCTGATTTGTTAGTGTCTATGTAGGGATTGGCTGCTGGAAAAGCAGAAAGAGAAGATAGTGCATTTCTTTGAGAAAGTGTAAATTTTTCTACTTCAGCTAAGGCTTTTGTGATATTTTCCTAAGTATCTTCAAATTTAGCCATCATTCAAATATTATATTGGTTCATAAGATTTAAGTCATGAATAAATTGCTTTCTTTGTTGTTCGGGTGTCATTCTGGCCAATTTACCAACCTTTTTGATTCGAGTAGAGAACTTTTTAACATCCATATCTTCTTGCATGAGTTGACCAAAAACTGCCATTTGTTTTAAGTATTCAACTGTCATATAAGAAGTACTAAATAGATAAAGGAGTTGCCTAAGCTTAATACTAGAAGCAATTGTAACAGTAGTGAAACCTCCATCAGCATTTGGTGCAACTGGTGCATTATCTGTAAGTTCACTATTGACTATAGACCAGTCTTCATCTCATGTTCCATTCGGAATAATATCAGCACCAGTTGCAACACCTGCTCCAATTCTACCAATTTCTGCTCTAGCTTTGTTATGAAATGCTCCTGCAATATTCAAATCACCAATCTGATTACTACCATTTCCAGCACCTATTGCTCGAACAGCAGTTAAAGTAGCTACATCTAAGTTATCTAAGAAATTATTACATCTCCAATTTTTGCCCTTAATGCGGGTATTATATCAATTCAATGCAGAGCCTGCAAAACATGATATTATCAATCCAAATGCCTTTTCTCTTCCAGTGACCTGACCTGCACCAGGTGCAACATTTATTCGACTAGCTACTATATATCTTTGCATTTCTCTGAGCCAATCCTCTGGATCTTCTCTAGGATGATCATAAAATATTAGGGGTCTGTATTCTATCATTCCTATTCATATATATTAGGTGGGTTATTCTGTAGTGCAAAAATTTGTTAATTTAAATTTAAAATATTCTGGCATTCTGCATGGTTCTTATTTTTCCATTTTTCATATCACTTATAGAGTCTGTCTCTATTATATTCTAACAAACCTCTATCGGCTCTGCATTGCTATAGGTGGTAGGCATTTCATTGATATAAGATTTGTAAGGCAAAATTTTCACATAGCAATTCACTAATACAGGTTTATTTTCTTACCATATTATCTATTATTTTATTCACTTGGTTTTGTGCATTAGTCTATAATTGATAAAGATCAAGCAATGCCTAATCTTGCTCCTGCCTGTATATATCCTGCTTCCATTGTTCATTTACCAGATCTTGTTGCAGATTAGTGTATTTACATCGAATTGCCTTGTTGATCTTTTAATTTGATTTGTTAAAATGGTTCTACATATTGTTGTATTATCTAGGGATCGGTCTATAGCATCAGCTAATTTAGCTATTGTATCTATATTATCATCAGAATTATACAAGTCTAGAGAATTTTCATCAGAATCAGATTTATTTTCGCCAAAATTCTATGTCTGTGCATTTTGTAAAGCCTCTTGTGTATTTCTAAGTTCTATTCTATCTCAATATCTTAATAATGCTAATGCAAAATTTTGACAAAGCAGGTCTGTGATATGATATTTTTGTTGATTTATTTTATTAATCCTATTTATTTGATTAGCCCTTATTGTATTTATTTCTCGTTTAAGATGTTTATTTTTATCCACTAATCTTGTCGTATAATCTTGTGCTTTAAAGGTGTTATCTGCAGATTTTGATATCTTCTATATTCAATTTTTTAATTTTGTTTTGTGTTCATCAAATTCTGATATTAATTTATCTTTATTAGAAATTTCTTTGTCTTTCTTTTTATTTTCTTTTTTGAGTTGATGAACAATTCTTTTTAGTTTTGAGATTTCTTCTTTTAACTCCTCTTTCTCTTCTGTAGAAGCTTCGATAATATTGTTTAACTCTTTTTCAAAGAATTGTATTCTCTCTTCCCATATGCTGATAATTCTTTCTAAGGTGTATAAATATTGTTCAAAATTCCTATTTAATTCTGCTAATTGCGTCATTGCCTTATAAAGCTCTTGGTTAGTTTATTGTAACTCGTCCATTGTTTTTTATCAATATAATAAAACAAAGGAATAGGAAAACTAGTTATTTATATCAATCCAAATAAGGCCTGGAGAATTGAAACAAATCTTATAATGTGAGATATATATTATCGCCCGACTGGGTATTATTCTAATCCTAAATCTCTAAGAGATGCATGTAAAAAAGAGGGGCATCGATTTCACCTAAGTGAATGCAAAGATTTTTTAGAAAATCAGAAGTCATACCAAACCAATAAAACTTCTCCAAAATACATTCCTAGAATTAGCTATTGATGAATAACATGCCCTAATTGCATTCATTAATGTGATATACTGTTTCTCATTCATGACTACTATAAGGGTAAAAAATATAAAGCAGTACTTAACATTATAGACTTTGCCTCCCGATATAAGGCTTCAGTTCCTCTTAGATCAAAGAAAAGTTCTAAGGTTGCTAAAGCTTTTAGGAAAGTATATGATAATCGAAATAATCTATTAATATGGCCAAAGCTTTTACAATATGATGGGAGACATGAATTTATAGGTAAGACCTCTAGATTATTGCAAGAGTATAGTGTCACAATTCGAGTGATTGGTCTATAATCTCATCAAGGTCTTGCATTTGTGAAGTGTTTCAATCAGACACTCTCAAAAATTCTGTATAAGACCCAATATGCTATTGAATCGATAACTTCTGATCCTAAATTAATAAGAGCATGGGTTAGATTTTTATCAGAAGTTATAGACTATCTAAATAACTACCCTACATGTCTTATTCGAGAACCAGAATTAGAAAAGTAGGGGCTCAAGTCTGTGAAAGCCATTGCATTAGAATGTGTAGAATCTAGACCATCTGCAAAATATAAACACTCAGTTGAAAAAGATAAAGCAAAATTAAAGAAAGGTGATACTGTCTGTTACTTGCCAATGCAGAATAAGAAGAGGGTATAGAAAATCAGAAAAGGGCCATAGATATAATATGGAGTTCAACTTTATTTAAAATTAGAAAAATTGTTGTAACAAAGAACAAACTAGTTCTATATTATCTTGATGAAGAATATGCTCCTTCTCGCAGGTTTGTGCAAGAAGAACTTATGTTAATAGTTAATTCAGAAAAGGTTGAGTACCCACTCCAGAATATATTATCTGTACATTTCGTTTATGCTTCTAATAACGAGATAGCTCAAGTTGAAGATTTTGCCAAAAGCATAATAGCCAATGTCTTGGGAAAACTGAGTGAATAAATAGTTATAATGTTTATCTTTGGTCCTGTAAAAATGATGTGCATCAGTAGGAGTATCTGCTAAAATATATCATGAAAAAATTTGAGTGGTGTCCTTTATGTCATCATTCAAGCAGTGAATGTCAATGCTGATATATTTTTGAGGATCTACTAGGTAAGAAATTTCCACCACATAGGCCGAATTTTTTAGATGGGATGCATCTCGATGGGTATAACAAGAAATTACATCTTGCATTCGAATTTCAGGGCCCTTAACACTATCATCACAATAGTTTGTATTATTGGAAGAGTGAAAATTTAAAATCACAAAAGATGCATGATCAGAAGAAGTAGGATATATGCAAGGACCAAGGTATATGCCTTATCGAAGTGCCTTATACATGTGATCTTTTTTCTTATATTAAGCATACACTAATCGAGAAAGGATTCTTAGATAAAGCGAAAGATTAAAAGAAATTATTTTTAGTATATCATTAATAATTCTTAATTTGATATAAAAATAAAAAAGCTTGAGCCAGTTGATAGGCTCATATACTACATTAATGAGATTAAAGATGTTCAAAAATATAATAACCATTCTAGTACACCTCAATGGCCTTTTACACTTCTAATTTTAGGTTGTACTAATTTAGGAAAAACTAATGAGGTTTTTAATCTCATGCTTGGAAATAAGCTTTATTGAATATTTAATAATAAGAAAGAAGGGACATGTTATATTAAGTGTGATGATTTGATCTTGATCAGCCATAATCTTAAAGAGCTAAAATATATATATCTTAAATCAGCGTATCAGATAATTGCAAATAGTTCAAAGCCATATTGTGAAAATTTACATTCCGAGGTTTGAAACCTGATAAAATCCCTAAGGTAGATTCATTTTCTCTGAATAGAGGTACAGTGAATATATTCGAAGATGTGTGTGCTGATTTGAAAAAAGTGCAGGAGAAAATTATTTCTTATTTTGTTGAAGGGTGACATTACAATATCAGTTCGATATATGTATCTCAGAGTTACTTTGACTGTTCAAAGATAATATGAAAAAATCTCTCACATGTTTGCTTATTTAATGAGTCATATACTACAGATAAACTAGTTAAAATTGTGCATCAATATGCCAATAACTGGCGTAGTGTGATTAAAATTATTGACAAGTATTTATGTGAGCAAAAATTCATTGTTTTTGATTTAACTGTACCTTGTAAGCATCCACACAAGATACATATCAGTTGGGATGTACCTCTTACTAATAAATAGAATCTAACTTTGTAGATGTCAGTTTTTTTTTGTTATATGTACCTATCAAGAATACATTTATTCATGTCTAGATGCTTTCACTATTCCTGAGAACATATCTTGAAAAATGAAGGCTTCTGCCAATATTATATAATATAATTACACAGTTACCTTCACTTTTAGTTGTATATTTAGATGCCTTTCTTTTACGATTTGCTACCTAAGTTTGCTATCGCTTCTTTTTTGCATCTATATCACATTTTCTTATTTTATATATGCTTACATGCATTGTGGTGAGTAAATATATTATTAATTAATGTCAAAAAAAAATAGTTATTATATCATTTCGATCATATTCTAAAAAAATAAATTATATTATTCAGTTAGAAATAATAATCTATAATTAAACTATTTCTCAGAATCAGTCAGTTAAACAATTGTAATTTCTGTTTCATCTCTCAATTTCAATATGATATCTTTTGGTAGATTAAGATGAGATGGTATTAAATTAATTTGTTTTGCAAACAGAGACAAGATAAATAATTTGTTTGTATTTCTCTTTCCAGGTCTATTAGTATTAATTGAGCTAGGTGCACTTATACTACATTGCATAGGAGGAGTGATTACCTTGAAACTAGTCAATGAATATGATTTATTTGGTTTCAAAGGGATCTCTTCAGTTTTAGCTTCAAAGCAAGAGTAATTCCAATAATTCTTCATCAAATCTTGAGACTCAACTTTATAGCCCCATCTGCAACATTCATCAAAATATACTATTATAGGATAGATTTTTATTATTGTATTATTTATTAGTTATAGTTGCTTTAATGCTTTAAATATTTTAATGCCTAAGCTTGTGATACTGGTCGCTTAGTTCCTTAGTGAAACTAGTCGCTTAGTTGTTTAGTGAAACTAGTTGCTTAGTCTCTTAATGAAACCAGTCACTTGGTCCTTTAGTGTAACTAGTTGCTTAGTCCCTTAGTGAAACCAGTCGTTTAGTCCCTTAGTGCAACTGGTTGCTTAGTCTCTTAGTCGTTTAGCCATTTAACTTACAGATATATAAACCCCTAAAATTCTCCCAAATTAAAGCAAGTTCTATAACCAACAGTTCTCAAGAAACAGACAATTTACTTTCTTCTTTATTCTGTAATTTATATTCTAAATCCTTTAGAACAGGCACCTAAGGATCACCCTTCTTGTAATTCTTTAATAAATGACTTTAACTATAAACTACTATGTAATAATTATCGAACTGCCTCAGAGATGGGTATAGTTTCTTGATAACGTCTAACAGAAGCTATACTTTCTTCTTGGACACCGCATATACCCATAAGGGATTCCTTATACTGTGTCATTGTTGTAGTGTGGAATTAAGAAGGCTTCTACTATATAATATTTGGTGCCTTCTGGCAGAAATACAAAAATTTCTTGGACGAATCTAACAAACCTTCCCTGATAGAAAAATGAAAAATTAGTTAATTATTGTTTTTTTATATATCTTTATGAATTTTTATCCTATTTTCAAAATTACACCTTTTTTAGATTCTTGAACATTTTCTTTATATTTTTATATATAGGTTAATTAGTAACAAAATACTTCCCTGATCTTTTATAAATCATTAAAGTTTTAACTCCCTTCTTGTTACAAATAATTTCTTTGAAATTTTCTTTTTCTGAATATCAATACATAAACTTTGAACCTTAATATCTCATTATTCACTTGTCTGTTTTGGATAAAGTCACCTCCTTTAGATTCGTAGAAAGTTACTCTATATTTTTCATCTAAGTATTAAGACCTATTAACTTAGTACAAACATCTAGAAAAGAGAAAAGAAAAAAAGAAAAGAAATTTTATAATAATGATTTTGAATACATTTCGTTTTTCTTTAATATCTCGATGAGTTTTAATTCTATAGAGATATAACACATATCAGTATACTCACAGAAGGTTGCTCTACAAATTTTATTATATTATATAATAATACAAAAATGCTTTTCTGGCTCATAAACTATTTCCAAAGTAGTGATAACATTTTTTTACATCTATAAAATCCTTCTTTGAACTTAGAAAAGAGGAAAAATAAGAGATTTGAGATTTCTTTAAATCATCATAGAACATTAACCACTAGACTAATTTTAACATTTCAATTACCGTTAGAATCGTAGAAGTCTGTTCTACAACTTTAATTAAGGACCCAAGACATAGTTACTTATTGTCAACATTATATTTGAGACACTTTTATAAAAATATATTCTTAGAATGATTTTTCTTTACTGTAATATATAGTCGAAAACTTTAGAAATTTTTTTTTCCAGACCTTATGATAACACATGACTTTCAAATATCTCATTTCTTTTTGGTTCTATACTGGTTAGAGATACCAAAAGAGATGATTATTTGACTATTATATAGAAAAGATATTAACATATTAACAAAAACATTCTTCATAACAATTAGTATATTTTGATTATAAAATTATTTTATAAAGATGAATTTTATTTAAATTTTATTACTTGATTTAGTTAAAATAAGACCTGGATATAGGTAGTTCCCAGGCCCCTCATCCTTCTTTCAACAAAGGACATTTTCAAGACAGTTTGTTATTTCTGAACAAAAATGACTGATGGTATATTTCTACCCTTATAAAAATAATCCCAAAAGATTTAATTTTATTATTCAAACTAGGAAGATTCTATCAAGTACTCTTGGACATTAATGCTTGGAAGGTTCAACTATGTACACATTAATAAAAATATAAAATTAAATTTAGTTATCTTAAAGAAGATACAGATAATTTAGAATAGTTATCCTGATAAAGATCCAGATATATTAGAATAATTATCCTGACAAAGACTCAGATGTATTAGAATAGTTATCCTAGCAAAGACCCAGATGTATTGGAATAGTTATCTTGGCAGAGACTCAGATGTATTGAAATAGTTATCCTGGCATAGACCTAGACATATATTGAGTTATCTCAGCAAAGTCCTAGATATATAGATCATAATTCCTCATGAACTAAGGTGTAGGTGTAAGGAATTATAAAACATTATTTGAAATAATTGAAGGATACCTTACAAGCCAAAGTGTAAGCATAAGGATCCAATCCAAAATACAACAAATTTATATCTTAATATCCCAAGCAAGAAGATTTATTTATTGATAAAAATTATAAATGAAAAACAGGAGCCTAGAACAGAAATATTAAAATGAATATAAAAGAAAAAAATACAAAAATAATTTTTAGATGCTTTTTATTTTTATCAATATCTCTATGAGTTTTGATTATAGAAAGATGATTTATATGTCATTCTATTTGCAGAAACCTACTCTACATTTCTTATTATACTATATATTAGTAAGAAAATGCTTATCTGGTCCGCAAATTAGCTCTAAACTTATGACAACATTTTTTAACATTTATAAAAATAATCTTCAAAGAAATCCCAAGAAGAGAAAAACACATTCGACATTTCTTAAAATTATAATAAAATGATATTTACTAAACCAAAATTGGAAATTTAATAACTGTTAGAACCAGAAGAATCTCCTCTACAACTTTACTTAATGGGCCAAGACATGAATACATAGTATAAAAAGGCTACAAAACTATCTTTTCTAGAAATATATTTTTAAAAACAATTTTTTTTTACTGTGTCACATAGACAGAAAAATTTTGAAAATTTTTCTAATTGAATCAGACTATCTAATCTTTAAAGTTCTTATCTCTTTTAGGTTCTATAATAATCTTAGATACTAAAAGAGATTACTTTTAGATATTATATATATAACAATTATCTTATTATATTTTTTATTAGTCATAGTCTTCTCTTTCTTACAAAATAATATAAAGTGATTGCTGTATTCATGAATAGTACTCTGGCAAGTACTAGCTTTATATTATTGAAATTTAAAGGACATATATAGCTATCAATGGTCTGATTATTAAGGCTTTTCTTCCTCTAGTTATACTCTATAGATATTTCTAAGTTTAAAAATCTAATAATCCTTGTATAGAGTAAACATTTGTTATATCTGATCAACACATACTGAACAGTAGAATCTAGTTAAAAGCTGGTTCTATTGTTGTACCTTATAGTGTCTAGGAGACTATTGAATTTAAATTTCTTAAACATTTATTTATTTTTTTATTTTTTTATTTTCTTATTGGCAGAACCAAAACTTTTATTTCTTTTATTTTTAAAATACTTTATTACACAAATCATATGAAATCTTAAATTCTTATTGGATAATTAAATTATTTTATTAACATCTAAAAAGGGTACCAATTTGAAATTTAGTAATTATTCCAATATGGATTAACAGTCTATCTCGTATTATCAGACAGTACAGGTCATATATTCGAAACTGGCTAGGGTGAGCTTTCTGTCAAGGACCCAGGCATTGTAAGGCCCTTAGTTGAAATATTAGAAATTATTATTATTTTATTTTTCTTCAAACTATTATACATTTTTTTTTATATTATAATATTATATTTTATTTATTTAAACTTAAAAATTTTATATTTTATTAAAACAAAAATAAAAAAATAAAAAAAAAATCTAATAACAAAACAAAACAAATCTAAAATTCAATACCCAACAATTTATCTCTACCACTATTATCTTCATTACTTCTTTCTTTTCCTCGTAATTTTCTCAACTCTTCTTCACAATTCTCTAATCTGGCCCTCAACCTATTCCTTTCCTCTAACAACCTCATATATCTCTGCTCTAACATCCACCCATCTTGCACTCTTAACATTGCATTTGATCTACACTCTTCTAACTCCTTTTCTAAACTCTGAATTCTTCTTCTCTGAGAGGTCACCAAATGAAATAAACTATAGGGAATTTTTCTTATTACTAAAAAAAAAAAAAAAAAAAAAAAAATTTTTTTTTCTCTTCAATATTTACTGCACATTCTCATCTTGGACCACCTCCAAGGCCTCATATAAGGCATTATTGACCCTACGATGAACTTGATAGACATTTCTTGACATATTGGTTCTTGGCATTATTATTATTATTATTATTGTTGTTATTATTGATTTTTTTTTTTTGAAAAAGAAGAAAGAAGAGATATAAAATTTTTTCTTTTCTTCTTATGAACAATGATCAAATTTTTTTTTTTCATGAACCAAAATTAGAAACTAAAGAAAAGTTGATTTAACAAATTTGAAAATCAATTAGAAATTAATTTAACAAATTTGAAATAACAATAATTTGTAAATTGTATGATTACAAATAATAGGAACAGAAATTATTTTTTAACTTTTTATAATAATTTAGAATTTGTGAAACAAATTTCTTTACGAAGATGGAAATATTATAGGATAGATTTCTATTATTGTATTATTTATTAGTTATAGTTGCTTTAATGCTTTAAATATTTTAATGTCTTAAGCTTGTGATACTAGTCACTTAGTTCCTTAGTGAAACTAGTCACTTAGTTGCTTAGTGAAACTAGTTGCTTAGTCTCTTAATGAAACCAGTTACTTAGTCTCTTAGTGTAACTAGTCACTTAGTCCCTTAGTGAAACCAGTTGCTTAGTTCTTTAGTACAACTGTTCACTTAGTCTCTTAGTCGCTTAGCCACTTAACTTACAGATATATAAACCTCTAAAATTCTTCCAGGTTAAAGCAAGTTCTATAACCAACAGTTCCAAGAAATAGACAATTCTTCTTCTTCTTTATCTTGTAATTTATACCCTGAATCCTTTAGGACAGGCACCTAAGGATCACTCTTCTTGTAATTCTTTAATAAATGACTTTAACTATAAACTACTATATAATAATTATCGAACTGCCTCAAAGATAGGTATAGTTTCTTGACAATGTCTAACAGAAGCTATACTTCTCTCTTGGATACTGCATATATCTATAAGGGATTCCCTATATTGTGTCATTGTTGTAGTATGGAATTAAGAAGGCTTCCACTCTATAACAATACTTTTCTTGGTTTTACTTCAGTGATCCTCACTAATTTCCAGCAATTAAAACAAATAGTCATTTCACTCTTGTGAACTCTAGGCTTGTGATATTCATATAGAATATCTATTAACTCACTATTGATATAGCTGTAATATGCTTTGGTTATTTCTTCTCCAAATGAGGTGAAGAGACAGAATACATGATAAACACTATATTCTTGCTTAGAAAGTAGTTCTTGCAAAGGACCTATTACCTAATTAGCCTATTGCTAAGGCATTTCATAAGACCTAATAATAGATAAATAATCATATTGTTTTTTATTTTAATCACTTTTTTATACCAATAGTTATTAGTTTGAGGTCGATACTTAAAAACATGTTCTATATCATATCTGGGACAAAGATTGCTAGGTTTAGGTATTCTTTTATTATAGATATTATCTATTATTATTTTAACTGTCACTGGGCATATTTAGCAATTTCACTGATTTTATTGATTTATAGCAATTTCAATGTCTTATAACAGTTTGTAACAAGTATAGTATAATAAATATCTGATTCATTTTTATTTCACATTGACACTTTTTTACCTGTGTTGAAAGTAGATTAAAAAAAATATTAATATAAAAAATATATCTCAATTGTGATCTCAAGAATAGCATTAGGAAAGCAGTAGACAACTATAGAAATCTGCATATAAATAACCTAATATATATGCTTCTTATCTGAAGAAATTTGCCTTTATCTAGAAAGGTTTCACTTATGTAAGTTGTTATAGTTGAGTAGTATCCCATATAAAAAATTAAGAAATAAGATTAAAATTATATTTTATGCTATTCGGCTAAATCATCTAATTGATTTTTTTTGCAAACTGAACAAACCACCTAAGTTAAAGTACTAGGCCACTAGCAATGATGATTATGCCCTTTCGAATATACAACACACATAGTCAGAGGCCTTATTGTCAAGAGGTGAAGACTAAAGTAAAATTTTTTGATTAACTATATATACCCATAACAATTAATCTGAATACTCAATCTATCAATGCATTATAATCTCATGCAAGAAAATAAAAAAGTATTATTTACCCAATTCATCCAGCATAACTTAAAAATTTTTGGATTAGACCTTCTCTTATCTGTTGATCTACAGGAGATAATTTATCTTGCTTGTTTATTCTAATAGCTTTTCTTTTTTTGAATAAATATAAGAAAAAGAATTTCGAGATGGATACATTCAAACTATTTCTTATCTTGTAGCTCAGTAGACTAAACTGTGAAAAGCTCATCAGGTCTTCCTCTTCTTATTATGCAGACAATGATAATCTGACGATTATGCCCTCAAAGTGATATATAAAAAAAATGTATATATGGAATGAATTTTTTTGTATAAATAACAGAGAAGAAATATAATAACAAAAAAGTGAGATGAATACATTCAAACTATTTCTTATCTTGTAGTTTGGTGGACTAACTACAGGAAGCTTGTTCAGTCTTCTTCTTCTTACAACAGGACAATGATAGTTGATGATTGCACTCTTAAAGCAGTGTTTTTATAAGAGTAGAATAAAAAAATAAATTTTAGGAAGGAAACAGTCAGATCTTAGACCTATCTTGAAAGGTTATGACTGCACCTAAAAAGACTATATTATTAAGGATAACTAGCATATTTTTGTAGAACAGACGATCACTTTCGCCAAAGTACTGGGCCACCAAATAGTAATTATGAGCATGTTTGATCTCACAATATACATAGTCAGAGGGCTTATCGTCTAACTGTAGAAACGAAATTTTTTGCATGACTAAGTATACCTGTACAAATAGTTCTAGCAATCATCTTATCAACACAAAAACAACCTAGTGTAAAAAGGTGAAATATCAGTAAAAAAAATCAAAAATTGAAAGATTTATATAAAAAAGATACTATTGTCTTATACAATACTAAATTCAGTACTACAATTATTGGACATAGGGTATGGTAATAATTTTACATGCTATATATCAATATTTAAGCCTGATTTACAAATTTAGAATAACTGTTATACTCTTCATTATTTATGCATTATAATGAAAATATCAAAGCATGTTGATCAAACATCTAGCATTGCATTTGTTACTCTGTAAATACATAAATACTGAAATAAGTACCTGTAAACATGAATGTGCGTTAGTTTAACACAACTACATAATGGTAATCTAATTTTTATCATTGATAGAAGCTCATAGCTGTCAAATCGAGAGACTTATCTTGGCACCAATCCATGCTGAAATAAATCAGAACACGAAAATTCATACATTTGTTCCAGAAAAAATAAAGTATTATCATATGACTTAATGGCCCTACAGGTCTGTATACATGTTTTTGAAATAACAATCATAAAATATTCAGGTTACAATAGCTAATAAATTAGCTATTTTTTATTACTATTATATGTCTCAACAGCACTTCAACAGCACTTCGACAATGGCTTAGATAATTTTATATTTGTTTATTATGAAAAAGCCAACAGCAGTTCAACAGTAGCTTAACAGCAGTTATCTAGAATTTATATTTTAATGAAATTTCAGTAAACATACATATGTGCAGTAATTTAATTTTACAGCTGTTAGATCATTTCGAATTTATTATGTCATACTGTCATAGAACTTAATGGTCCTATGGGTCCACTTATCTGCTTAAGCAGGCGGTTACCTGGTATTCAGGTTTATCAGTTCGAATGAGTGATAAAACCTTAACTGGCTTTAATAATCAATGGCTTGCATTAAATTTTATGCAGTGTTACCTTAATTTCTCACAGTCAATTTTTTATTAAGTTAATAAATAGTGCTAATATAAATAGCGTCTAGAATCTTTTCTTACCTAATACATGATCCCGTGATAAGAATAGGACTTAAAAAGACTATAAGAGTAATAAGTACAACATTCTTTATTAGTAGTTTTATCCAAATTCATATGTTACAAAGATTTGGAATCTCCACATCTCCAAGATCTTCAGATCTAAATCTACCTTAAGCGATCAATGATTATAAGGGGCTTAATTTCATTAGAAAAATAACAAAATAGATTCACTATTTGGACCTTATAACTGAGTGAAGTTGCTTTATGGAGAAAAAAACTGGCATTAGACTAAGTATCATAATTACTAATCGTGTATTTTCTTTCTGACAGGTTCTCAGACCTAATGAATATAAGGTATAAAAATAAGCAGATTTGCTCACAAGTTAAGTTAGCAATAACATTGCTCTTATATATTTTTTTGGCTTAACTTATTTAAAATTTACTTTCAAGGTCTGGTTAACAAACATTGTTTGTTATATGTTTTTTTTCGAAAGCGAATTTCTACTTACTATTTATTTTTATGTTAGAAAGCAAAAATGGCGAATATTACTTTAAATTATTATATCAGCAGTGATTATTCAATTAATATTGCCCAAATACAACAGTCATCAACCTTAAAAATATAATTAGAAATAACATTTCTTTTACCGATTTTGATCTCTATATAAATAATATTACTTGAGATGTAAGAAAATATATGGATCAGCAAAACATGGATTTACAATATTTTGATATTAATAGACTAAGAAATTATATCCATATCCTTGTTTATGAATGATAATTTTTTTTTATATATATTTGCACTAAGTAATTGCAATATATTTTTTTATTTGTATATTATATTGTCATCATGGCAATATAATTTTTTATAATAATAAAGGGAGAGGGTCCGCTGGACTCACAATTTTTTATTTTTATGTGATAGTGTGAACAAGTATTGGTCATCAGTTATACTATTATTTCGATTTTTATTAGTACTGCTAAAATCTAATATACACTAATCGATTTTTTATAAGTTACATTACCAGTTTCTAAATCATAGTAATAACTTGTATCTTCTTTGTCATCAGAAACTATCATGTCTATATCATTTATCTTAACATTATCAGAAAATGATACATCTTCTTCAGAATCATTGTCATGGCTACAATCACTATCATAGTCTGTCTGAACTTCATTAGTTCCTTTCTCCATTGACGAAGGCATAGGATCATTAAAATATGCCTCAGCTAGAGTGATTTTTTTGAGGCGTGAATAAAGAATTACCTAAAGAATTAGAGTCATATGTAAGAGGAATAGGTGTGATTAATTCACTTATCTCAGCTGAATTTTGGCTGAAGCCTCTGGCTGAAATCTCAGTCATAAGACTTGATACTTCTTCCACATCAGTGTTAACACTATCATTATGTTTAAAGAAATTATCTATGATATCTTGAACTTTATCATTAGTCAACTCAGAAATAGAGTTCGCACTATATGTCATAATATACTTAATATTGTCTACACCTACTTTTTCAAATAATTTATATATCTTTACAGCTTTCTGAGTTTTCTTTTGTAAATTTTTACAAGAGATTTCTGGAAGATGCAATTCTGTCTCTTCAGATTGTTGCTTTCGCAATATGAATAGGTGTTCTAACATTTTATCATATATTATTCCTTTTGCCTTTTTTTCATCTATTTTGTCTTTTCCATCTTGTACAATCACACTAACCTAGGTTAAAAATTCTTTTCCATAATAATACCAGCACAAAATCTCTTCCTGATAAGCATGAATTGCACCATATTTAACATCATCCGCTTTATTAAATAATTGTGCTAGAGAAAGCAATGAATCTATAGATGAATTTTGGCAGAAACTCTCAATTGAAATTACATCGCAAGGAGTGGTTTTGTCATTCGATTGGACATCATCTTTAATGCCATCAGCTATTAATTGTATGATGTTTTCTGCATCTTTCTTCCTATGGCTATTTTGATAAGAGCTCCTAGCTAAAATTTCAGAAATAGAAGTACCAGAGGATATGTAGTTATTTATAATCAACCTGGTATCAGATTCTTGATCTTGGTTAGAGAATGCTTTGCTAAGTTTCTTCTCCTTATTGTATTGTCTTATTCCATCACTAACACTTTGCTTACATGCCTTGTTCAGAAAAGCATCTATTTCTCTGTCTTCTGATGACTTCTGATCACTCATACAAAAAGTGACATTATCATATTGGTCTGAAATGGAATTATGTACATTGTTAACCTTCTCGAAAGAAATATCCTAGGTTAACTCTTTGTTCTCTTCATTATTATCTTTTAGCTTCACTATTTCAGCCTTAATCTCAGCAATCTCAACATTATGCCTAATATTCTTGACTGAAGAATCTTCTTTGTTTTTCTCCAACTCCTCGATTCTGACCTTGAGTTTGACATTCTCATCATCATGCTGTTTACTCTCTTCCACAGCCTGCCTTAGAAGCTCAGCAATCTTACTATTAAGCTCAATTTTTTCAGCCTCGATCTCAGCAAACTTCCTTCTAAGATCAGGGATTTCAGCATTCTTCTTCCTAAGCTTCGCAATCTCAGTTAAGAGTTTAGCATTTAATTCTCTCAATAAATCAATAGATTGAGCATTTGACATGTTTGATATATCTGTTTATACACTAATATTCAAAATAAATAATCACGCGCGTGAATAATTGTTCACACTGATCACTTTTGCCAAGAAAAAAATTTTTTATTAATACATGTGAAAAATAAATACAAATGTTCGAGACTTAGCCCGTGATACATGACGTCTATACTATTGTCTGCAAACTAATTTCTGCGTGAAAAACTTTTACGCTCTGGGCATCAAAATTCTCGATCATATACGAGTTAATATACATCGATAACAATACAATAAAATAAATTCACGAAATATACATGCAAA